CGCAGCAGGTGCTGCGTGGTGCCCCACGTTTGCCTTCGTCTTGTCCTTTGGGTGCCCCTCAGGGGCCCCCCCAGAGCGTTCCTCAGGGGGCCCCCCAGGGGGCCCCCCAAGGGGCCCCTCAGGGTGCCCGTCCTGACATCCTTTTGTCTGCTGTTGCGTCGCAGCAGTACGCACTGCTGGCTGTGCGGGCCTTCTTGTTGGCTTGTGAGGAGCCCCCTGCTCCCCCCTGGAAGCAGCTTGCTGCTTGGGGCCCCTGGCTCTCAGGGCAGCAGCAGCGGCCCCCTCTAGCGGGTCTTCAGGGGCCCCGTCGTCGTGGGGGCCCCCCTCAACCAGCTGGCGGAGCAGTGCACACCGAGCCTGAGGAGCCTCCTGAGGCATCAGAAGAAGTGGGGCCCCTAGGGGGGCCCCAAGGGGGCCCCCAAGGAGGGTCCAACGACAATGGGCCCCAGGAGGCCCAGGATGAGGCCCCCACCGCTGCAGTACAAAGAGGAGCAGCAGATGAGGTACCTCTCAAGGCTGATCGCAAAAAGAAAAGGGGGGGGGCCCCCAAAGGGGGCCCCCCAGCCAAGAAGGCAGCGAAGGGCCAACGAGCTGCTCCGGGGGAAGGGGCCCTTGTGGCTGCAGACGGTAAGCTTCCACCGCAGCAGCAGCAGCAGCAGCAGCAACAGCAGCAACAGCAGCAGCAGCAGGAATACCTGTTGTTAAGGTGTGTAGACATTGTGCGTGTATTTTGTGTTAGGAGTTTATTTTGTCTGCATTTGCTGTATCTCGCGTTGCTTGTGCTGTTTTTTTCTGCTGCTGCTGCTGCTGCTGCTGCTGCTGTTGCTGTTGCTGTTGCTGCTGCTGGTGTTCAGATGTATGGAGGAGCAGCGGGGAGTTGCTGCTGTCTTGTCGTTCTCCGCCTTTGCCGCTGTCTGCGGTGCAGCAAGCGGATCTATGTATTGACCTGCTGACGGCGTTGGGCCGGCTGCGGCCTCAGTGGCGGGGGCGCAGCAACAGAGTTCCTTTTCAGTTGCATT